TTTTAAAAAGTAAAAAAAGACAATAAAAAATTGAGGTTTATTAAAAACAAATGTTAATATTTAATTATTTGTCCAATCTTGCATAACTGTATCTGTTAACGTGAGCAACAGATTGACAATAGGCAACATAACAACTATTGTTTATTTGCTATTCTTGTTTTGAAAATCTGTAACACACCTATTGTTGTATGTTACCCTGTTTCTGTCTTTGTTTCTGCTATTTTGTTTTGCTTTTGTTTTTATTCTTCAAACTAAAATTAAATTAAATTTAAAAATACAACAAAAGAGAATACAAAAAGGAACACCATCCCTCGGCTTCCTTTGCCTACAGAAGAAAACATGGAAGTGTCCTGGGCCCTCCCCTGTCTCTCAATGAAAGTCTACTTTGTGTTGAACATGGAAAAAGCCTTCATGCTACCCTGCTCTGGTTTTACTTTCCCTATTCTATACAGTGTGATTGAAAAATACAGTGAATGTTTAAATTTTTTAATTATTACAGTAAAAGACAAATTACCATTGGGCCTCCTCAAAATACTCCCCCTTAAACAAACCCACTCATTCTTGCACTTTCTGAAGCAGTCCTGACAATCCACTGTTGTGAGAGTCTGGTTATGCTGTCATGGCTTTCTTGATGTCCTGAGTTGATTACAAATCCTAATCTTTCTTGGTCACTTTCACTTTGAGGAAGTCCTATGGTATCAGATACAATAAACAAGGCAGATTAAAGAAACACTGTTGGGCCGGCCAAATAGCACAATGGATTAAAGCACCTGAAAGCAGGTACAAGGGCCGAGAGTTCAATCTCCAGGCCTGCTGTGCTGGCCCCACCCCTGGGGCGCCCTGAGATGGCAATTGAGACTGGGCTTCGTGGCACGCACCTGTAATCCCAGCTCTTGGGAGGCTGTAAATAGGCAGATCACTACGAGTCAGATCCAGTAGTGAGACCCTGAACACCTTGTAGTAGACCCTTCCCTAAAATACGAAAAAAAGGAAAAAAGAAACAGTCATGTTTCACAAGCCTTCCTTTTTGTTGGATAGTATTCACAGCATTCATTATATTTTTAAACACTCTTCATAAATGCAGTCACAAAAAAAGGACCTCCAGAACTGCTTCAGAAAGTGTCAAGAGCCACGCGACAGATTTGTAAGGGCAGGGAAGTATTATGAGGGAGATTACTGGCAATGCATCTTTACTGTAATGAACTTTTAAATTTAAAATGTATTGTTAGAGATTTCACTGACCTTATCAGACCCAAAAGCTACAACTCTTATTGCATAGGTCCTGCTTTACCTT